CGCCATAAGGACTGAGGAGCCAAATCTGCAGAGGTTCCCACTGATCAAAGATGAAACGATTTGAGTATGGGTGAAGAAATGAACCATAATGAATTAAAATGATTAAACACCCTTAAATTCATGGGTTCAAGGTAATGTTTTTAATTAAATTGGTCCTTGTGAAGATAACAGGAACCAACTTGCTCTCTTGAAACCTAGGTAAATAAAATGAAAGAATCAACAATCTCGCTTTCCTTATTTGACCTATAACACTAAGTAACCAAACAGTAGATGAGGAGTATCTCCTTATGAAAATTATTCCAGTTAACATATGGAAACAAAGTCACAAAATTTTATCATCACTATTTTGCAAACACCATGAGTTAATGGATGTAGGCACTGAACATCAATGCTTGGTAACATCAAAAAAGAACAAAACCGGTCATTAGGTGTCTTCAGGTGAAAGAACACCTTACCACCTATAGTCTTGCCAAAAGGATCAAACAGGAATCTGATCGAGCTTCTGGATCTTACTGGCAATTTGCAGAAAATAGAGAGGACAGAGTAACATATGGAACTGCGCCATGGTTCTACAAACAGCAGAATACAGACTATGAGAAAATGTATTAGTTCTTTCACAGATAAACTGTAAGTAATGAAAGGAATGGAGGAAAACCTGTACATTTAAAAAAGGATTAAAAGATAGATCACGTTTTTAAAAAATGGGTGGACTAAAGCTACCATGTCAAGGGATGTACACTTGGATAAAAAACCATCAAAAAACCCAAGGGGGTGACTTTTGCCTTTTTGGTTTTTTATTATGTTAGTCACCATAGAGTACATCATTAGTTTTTAATCTAGTGTACCAAGATTCATTGTTTGAATATAACACCCAGTGCTCCATGCAATACGTGCCCTCCTTAATACCCAACAGCCGGCTCATCCGCCCCCCACCCCTCCCCTCTAAAACCCTCAGTTTGTTTCTGGGAGTCCACAGTCTCTCATGAAAAGTCAGGGTTTGATTACTTTAGAGGAAGGTTAAAGATTGTGATTGGCATGAGGAACATGAAATGGATACTGGTGTGACTGGCCATTTTGTTGTGGTATGTTTGTTCCTGTATTTTTATTTTAGAATTAAGAGAGTTTTTATTTATTTATTTATTTGACAAAGAAAGAGAGTACAAGTAGGCAGAGCAGCAGATAGAGGGAGAAGGAGAAGTAGGCTCCCTGCTGGGCAGAGAGCCTGATGTGGGGCTCAATCCTAGGACCCTGAGACCATGACCTGAGCTGAAAGCAGTCGCCTAACTGACTGAGCCACCCAGGCGCTCCTAGAGGTTTGTTTGTTTTGTTTTGTTTAAGTGTCCAATGAGTTTAGCATTTCTGGCAAAAGAAGTTTCAATAGAACTGTAGAGCAAAAGTGAGACTGCAGTGAGATAAGGAACAAAAGGAAAGTTAGAAACAGGTACAGTCAATGTGGACTTCTGTTGGTAGAAGTGCGGCTGAGAATGGAAACAGAGAAAGGTGTAAGTTTAAGATGACATAGTGCAAAGAGAGAGGTTTTCTCTTTTCTTTTTGCTCATTTGGTTTATTTTTTAATAATTTTTCTTAACATATAATGTGTTATTTGTTTCAGGGGTACAGGTCTGTGAATCATCAGTCTTACACAATTCACAGTGCTCCCCATAGCACATGCCCCCCCCCCAGTGTCCATCCCGCAGCCACCTCATCCCCCCACCCCCCAACCCCTCCAGCAAACCCTCAGTTTGTTTCCTGAGACTAAGAGTCTCTTATGGTTTGTCTCCCTCTCTGGTTTCATCTTGTTTCATTTTTCTCTCCCTTCCCCAATGATTGTCTGTCTTATTTCTCAAATTCCTCCTATCAGTGAGATCATTTGGTTTAAAATGAATGAGACTTGAACAGGTTTATGTGCCAAAGGGAGATAAAAAATAAAGAGCGGGACATTGGAGATGCGTTTGAGAGAAGGACAATTGACAGAGCAAAATCCATGAGGAGACTAAAGGGAACATGATACCAAAAACAGGTAGCAGGTTGACCCTAAGTAAGAGGCTAAAAGTGGTCATTTCTACTGAGACAATGGAAAGGAAACAAAAAATCTGTGGTGAACTTAGAGAGGGAGGGCTAACAGCAGAAAGTTGAGGAAATTCCCACTCTCTGTTCTCTATTTCCCCTGTGAAACAGGAAAGGGGTTATCTCCTGATATGGGTGCGGGGGGGGGGGGGGGGGCATAAAGTATTCAGTCAATGTTTAAAATATCCAAAGTGGTGTTGGAAATTCCATAGAGATGGAAAGATGAATTTGTAGTGATCGTAACCCATGCCATTTCGTCATTGTCTTCAGAAACCCGAGTGTAGGATTAAAGAAGATATAGTTAAATTGATGAACTCTTTGTTGTTCATTTGTATTTTCAGATCAGCCTAATGAGGCAGGGGAGCTGACATCATTGGTGAGGAACTGCTAAAGGTGATGGGGAAAGGCAGAAAGGAGAACACTAATAAAATGGGGCCGGGGAGGAAATAACTCTGAGGCTTAAAACACTGAGTGAATAGGGATAAGGGAGAAAAAACAGATTTAGGAGAAAAGAGAATGAGTTCGTTTTTAATATTTCAAGTTTCTATGTCCAGTTCTAAATGTGAACCCAGATGCCCAGAAAGGAGATCTGGCCTGAAACTCCAAATGTGAGCAGCATTACCTTAAAGAAAATATATACAGTAAAAATAGAATATTAAAAAAAAAAAAATGAAGAAAGAATCCTGAAAAGCATTGAGGCTTAAAGATCAAGGAGAGAAACTGCAGGTATCAAATTCTCTGGGATCCATCCAGAGAGGAAGGGGAAAAATCCAGATGAAAGATGTCCCTCAAAGTCCAGAAAGAGAGTTTGGGGGTGGGGACGGCCAAAATGTTGATGCTGCTGGAATATGGAAAAGACGCCTTAACTCATGTTTGTTTTCTTACCGTCTAGGAAAATGTGTGGCGCGTAGTTGGAACTCATTGTTGCGCCCACTTCGATACCTGTACGTCTCACTCCAACAGCGTTAGAGTTGTAGAAAACGCAGAAAGGGTATACAGGAAGGAAGGAGGAAAGATAAGGGGAAGAAAAGGAAAAAGAAAACAAAAAAGAAAACAAAAATCTCACTCACCCAAATGCTCCGCGGCGGTGCCACGTCTGAGTCCCAGCTCAGCGAGTCAAGGCCCCACGTCCCCCCAGACTGCACGTGCCTGTAACATGCAGACGGACCCATCGCAGCCGTACAGACTCGCTTTCCCCGCTCCTGGCCCACGCGAGGATGCAGGGCCTCCAGCTCCTGGAGAACGGCCCCCCCTCCCCACACGTCTCTCGACGTGTCCGTCTCACAGGCGCACGGCGGGCAGCTGCCACTTTCCCACTGCGTCTTACTGGGTGGTTCAGTTCGCAACCAGCCGCTTCGGGGGCGCGGAGGTGTCCTGCTACGTGCGGCTGTGGACCCCCACCTCTCCGCGCGTGCCCGAGGCCCGCAGGTGTTCGACTCCTCCGTCAGGCCGCTCAGGCCTCAGTCCGGCACCGGGGCTGTACGTCCAGAGCCGTCACAGCGCCCCAGTTCCACGGCGCTCTGTGGGGCCTTGCGCCCTTCCCTTCTGGGTCCTCAGGTGTCCGATGTGCCCCAAGGCCATGTGGCCCCTGCTCGCCCGTCCTGCAGCCTGAGCGGAAGAGCGCTCCGTGTTTTGCGCTCATAGACCTGTTCCCGGTCTGCAGGCCTCAGACACCGACTGGGCGACATCCGGCTTTTCACGTCTGTCCGTTCGTTTCCCTTTTCTAAGCGCTTGACGTCGTGGGTGCTTAACTAACAGCTAAACCACACGAGGGATCGGAGGGAACGAGACGGCGCACAAGTTGTGCGGCCCACTCGAGTCAGTCTGCCGCGGTCGGAGCGGCCGCCCGTCTCGGCTCTTCTCGCTGCCGTCCCGCGCCGCTACCCAGCCGCTGTCGCAGCCTCTGAGCACCTTCTGCTTCCGCTTCAAGCAACAGACCACGGGCTCCCTCCCGTGTCCAGGCCCAACGCCCAGGAAAGACACTGACTGGGAAGGCCCGGGCGCCTGGGTGGCTCAGTCGGTTAGGCCGCCGCCTTCGGCTCAGGTCATGCTCAGGGTCCTGGGATCGAGTCCCGCGTGGGGCTCTCCGCTCAGCGGGGAGCCTGCTTCCCCCTCTCTCTCTGCCTCTCTGCCTGCCTGTGATCTCTGTCCTATAAATAAAATCTTTAAAATAAGAAAGAAAGAAAAGAAATCCCTGCGCCCCAGGCTCCCGGGCGCCGCTGCAACTTGCCCGCCCGCGCCGCACCAGCACGGCCCGGGTTCGGCCTTGAGCCGTCGTTACGGTTCAGCGCGCATTGTGTCACGTCCGCTGTGACGCATCCACCGAGGGGACACCTAGAAGCGATTCTGCTCAGTGCCCGACACGGGGGAGGTGCTGACCGTCTCGTGTGTCTCTGTGTCTCCGCGTCAGTTCTCGGCGGTCGGAGAACGCACCCGGGACGGCGTCGGCGCTCGGAACGCCGCCGGGGCTCCTCCCGGGCTGGACCACACTCCGTCGTGGTGCAGGACCGCGCGGCTGCCCTCCCGCTCCCGCCGCCGGGACGGACCGGCCGCGGCTCGGAGACCCCGGTCCGTTCGACGCTCCCCGCGGATTCCCACCAAGCGGCCGGGAGGAGTCCGCTCTCGCTCTCCGTCGGCTTCCTGCGAGCTCTCTCCTCGTCCCCTGAAGAAAACGCCGCACGGCCGCACGGCCCCGCGCTCTTCTCACCCACCAGGACAGACCCACGCCTCGGCTTCGCGTGTCGGGAACCACCCGCAGGCCCCCGCGCGCGCATCCGTTCCCGCGTCCCGCCGGCCCCGCCCCCGGCCCCGCCCCCGGCCCGCCGGCCCCGCCCCAGAAGAGGCCGAGGGGTGGGGCCCGCCGCGGCGTGCTGACGTCAGAGAAGGCTGCGACGCCGCCGGGTGCGCCGAGGAGCTGACGGCGGGGACCGGCTGGTGTGATCGCGGAGCGGGGCCTGGGCAGCGGCAGGACCGTAGGACCTCGCGCCGCGTTCCCGGGCTCCGGGGCGGGGGCGGCGGCGGCGGCGAAGCCCCCTCCCCGGGGAGGCGGGGCCCGGACGAGCTCCCCGGAGCGGGGGCGGCGGCGCAGGGAAGGATGCACCAGAAGCTGCTGAAGAGCGCGCACTACATCGAGCTGGGCAGCTACCAGTACTGGCCGGTCCTGGTGCCCCGCGGCATCCGCCTCTACACCTACGAGCAGATCCCCGTGTCGCTCAAGGACAACCCGTACATCACCGACGGCTACCGGGCCTACTTGCCCTCCAGGCTGTGTATCAAAAGGTACGGGGTCGCCGCCGCCGTGGGGGGCGCGCCGCGGGGGGCGCCGGAGCCCTCCTCCCCCCCCCCCCCAGCTCCCGCACCTTTTGTCGGCGGTCCCTGCGCAGCCCCCAGCCTGGCGTTCCCACCTGCCACGTCCCTCCCATTCTTTCCCCCACGTCTCCCCTCTCGTTACCTGTCTTCTTCCCCCGCCCGGTGCTTGGCCCACGGAGCACGAGTGACAGTTAGTAGGGCTTTGTCGCCACCGCAGCAGTTTCCCCTGCGGCGCTCCGCCGCCCGTACTGCGTCTGCTGCCGCCGGGAGCCCCCCGCCCCCCCCCGCCGACGACGACGGCCGGGTGGTCCTTGCCCAGTGCACACCCAAGCTTTGTTTATTTTTAGATGAGCCCTGTGGAAATTCCGGTGGTTTGGGCCCAATGTGACGTGTGATAGGAAATTGTATTAATATAATAGGACACAGGTCACGGTGTCATAGGCATTTGCGTAAATATGTACGTACACACACGTGTGTGTATCCAGATAGATGGACAGATGTCTCAGAGCAGCCCCGATTCATTCATTCAGCAGCTACTGGGAGCCCCTCCCAGGTGCCAGACCCTGTACCAGGCCATGCCCAGAACAGAAGATAGTGCCCTGTTCTTGTGAAACTACTAAGGTTTGGTCTCAGTGACATACATTTAAGAGTGATTACTCTATTGCATAATAACCATTTGTGGAAAACGCTGTGTCGGAAAAGGACGTAGCAGAGAGAAGCTGTCATGGGCACCACCCTCCACCGGAGCACCCTAGAAGCACTTCTAAGAAAGGAATCTCTTTATCATCTAAACCTTTAAAACCTTGAGTCCCTTGAGTGCCTGGATTTTAAAAAACAAAACCAAAAAATCAGTGTTCTGGTTGTTAGACTAGATTTATGTTAAAACTCACTATATGTACTTAAATATAGAACCCCACTTTAAGGGAATGAAGGAACAGGTATTGGTTAGTTCTAGGATGTGGTAGTGACAGACTCTGTGCTGGCATGTGGGCTGTTGAGTTGCTCGGGAAGCAGTCACACATCTGATTGTTGGTCTTCTTTTCAGCAAGGTCTTTCCCCCAATCTTTCTGTCCTGCCTTGAAAGTGTTTTGTTCTCATCGTCACAAGGTGACATTACATTCTGCCCATCCCTACTCAGCGGATGGCCCACAGGCCTTCACAATTTGAATCCTAAGTACTGTTTGCCTCCCCAGTGTCTCCTTTGCATAAGTTATTATACAAGAAACCAGAGCTGGGCCCTGCTATGCACATGAAGTTCACAAGGACACAGCAGGTCGTGAATTACCTAAAGTATTTTATTACCGTCTAGCAGCAATCCTCTGGATTCTTATGCGAGTGTCCAAATCTCATGGACTGAGAAGTGAAATATGTGTAATGCTCTGATCTTGGGCTGCGGAGTCAAAAAGCCCCGATCTGCCACTTAACCATTTTAGGACCTTGAACAAGGGCTGACCTCTCTGAACCTTACTTTCCCCTTCTGTAAAAAGGAGGGTAATCACAATTCCTGCTTCAAAAAGTAGTAAGGATTAAATGACATTATGTATATAAAATGCTACACAGGGCATGACCCCTAGCAGGCACTCAATTAATGGTGACTTGTTACCACCCTAATTACTGATGTTGAAGCTGAACAGAGAAGCAGAACTTCTCACAGAGTAAGAGCAGATTCTCGACAGGCAATACTCTTCCAAGTGCTCTTCCCACCAGCTTGGTCTTGGCCAAGGTCAGCTTTTGCCCTCTCTTCTCTTAGCTGTCAGAGTGACCAGGACAGATTTTGAAGTAAGGAGAGGTTTTGCATGTCGCAACTGTTCTGCCGGCACTCTGTTAGCTGGAAGGAGCGTGCCACGGTCCTGCCTGTCGGTTCAGTCACTCGGGGCGCGCCCAGTTTCACAAAGTGAGAAGTTCTGAGGCAGAGGCAGAGCAGCGTACTGACATCGAACTAGTCCTGTAGTTAACCTTCCTTCACGTCCCTGCGTCTTCACCCCGCCCCAGTGGTAGTAGCCCTGACACTTGGTGCTCGTACAGGATAAAGCCCGAAATTCATGATAAGAAGATTCACTTTATTCTTGATGATCGTTTGACAGTGTGAGACCCTGTTATGTTTATGGTGTGTAAAAATGGGAAAATGAGAACCGTGGTGATTCCTACAAATTCAGTAGGTTAGAGTGATACATTGATGCTTATTAATAAGGAATGTGAACCAGCGAATGTCAAAGACCTGAATTCAAACAAAAAGATTAGATTTCACCAGAGAAATGCAAGAGAATTTGAAACAATAATCAGTTGCGTTCTGTCTATAGTTAGAGAAACATTTCCCAAAATGAAGGAGCTAGAAGGGACTTGCAGCAGCATCTCATTCACCTCTCTTGTTTTATGATTGAAGAGACGGAAGCCAGAGAACTTAGGGTCACAGAGCTACTTTGTGGCTGAGGGTGAGAGTGGAGGGAGGGGCAGTGAGCCTTTTGACTCCCGGCTGCTGTGGTCCAGTCTACGCCACCCAGTGCTGCTAAGACTGCTCAGACCAGCTGGGCATTTAGTGAGCAAACGGTACCGATACTCAAAGTAACCTATTGTTCCTAAAAAGGAGAAACTCATGCCACCTAGGAACTAGTTTGGTTTCACACAACCACAGCAGAGCTGTTCCGGCATGCCTGTCGTAAGAGCCTTTCCAGCGGAACAGTTTGTATTTATTCTGCTTCTCTCGCGTCTGTCTAGCTTTGCGTTCACATTTAGTGTGTGCTGAAAAGGTATTTTAAGTTTGTGGCTAACCTTATACTTAGCAGGTTTTCAGATACCTGCGTTTGAGCATGAAAGTATGGCAGCGAACATCCAGTTTTAATCTGCACATTCATTTCTGTAGACACCTAGCATCCGATCTGAGCAAAGTACTCTGCCGGGGACAGTGGTGTCATAAAGACGGTTGGTGCCAGCCATCAGGGAGAAGATAGGCTGGAGGATGAGATGGAATTTATACATCCGTAACTCAGAGGAGGAAGGAAGTAGTAAATATGATAATAGAGGTGAGCCCCAAAAAAGCTCCAAGACCTCAGGACTGGTGGAGACGTGGAAGAATGTAAACTAAGCGAGAAATCCTATTTACAAAGGCAGAGACATGGTTAAGGGCTTCAAGTAGCGAGTGTTGGATAACTGCCCCCCAAACTGTCCCTAACCTTCTAAATGCTGATGGTGAGCAAGCCAGTATGAATCTGAGATGCATGTCTGTCTGTTTTCCAGTTTGTTTATTTTATCTAATGAGACCGTCAACATCTGGAGTCATTTGCTGGGCTTTTTCCTCTTCTTTACCCTGGGAATATATGACATGACATCAGTATTACCTTCGGCAAGCGCGTCCAGAGAAGATTTTGTAATTTGTTCTATTTGTCTTTTCTGCTTCCAGGTAAGTCATTTCAGAAACGTTATTACTAATAAAGAGAGCTTTAGTCAGACAAGCTTGGGCAGGTGATCTTACATCACACCCACCACTTGATTTAAAGAGCCCCAAAATAGCACATAGGTTAGCTTATTCATTTCCATAATACAAGCAGCAAAAATGTTTTTATGAGAGTATATTTGGGCTTTACTGTTAGAGTATACTTGAAATCCAGTAGATTTTAAAGATTGAGAAAATGCCTTGCCTTTTCTCCTTCCCTTTTTAGAGATTTCTGTTTTAAGACTAATAATGGGATAGGAACCTCTGTACTCTATTTTCTGGCTGAGATAGAACACTAGTTACTGCTTAAAACATTTTTCAGAAGATTTCCCATCTTTTTCTTATTTATATGTGTGTGATTTCTGTATTTGTCTTAATTTTATCTTTAAAATTTAATAAATTTATGTAATTTATGTACATATATAAATGTATCTGTCTTAATTTGAATGTCTTATTTTGCTGGTAGTGATCTTTTCTATTGCTTTAGTGTTCATTTCCTTTGGTCTTTTTATGCTTGCCTGGTTTCAGATACTTTCAGTTTCTCCTTTCTACCTTTTGTATTTATTTCCCTAGCACTTTCAGTTTTCTTCAAGGATTGGTGAAATTCCTTTAAAAGTTATATAGAATAGTTTTAAAAACAATTCTAAAGAAGAAAACAAATGTGGGCTGAAATCCTGCTGACATTTTTAAAATTAAAAAAAAAAAAATGCAGAGAGTACAGAAAACATACAAATTAAAAGCTGTCACCCCCTCCCTGCTTCCTGCAGATGCAGGCCAGCACTCCCTGCAGTTAACCTGTGGCTACCGTGCGAAAGGTGCTTCTGTACCAGACTTCAGCTGCTCAGATGTTGCTTTCATGAGACATCATTTAATTTCAGACCATCATTCAACTCAAGTTCACACTTCGGAGTCAAAAGACTAAGAACACATTGGGAACATCACCCTTCCCCTTTTTTCCTAATTCTAGTTTTTGGAATAATATGTTGAATTTCGTTGAGGGAAAGAATACTCTTGTATCTTCGTTATTATTATTATTTGATTATTTATACTTAAAGTATACGCATTTTGTCCTCATTGCAGCCTAAACCTCTCTTAGACGCCATCTCTGGTTTTAAAATGGAAATGAATCAATTTCTTTATACTTTAATTTTTAGATGTATCTTACAGACTAAGATGCTCTTAATAACCATTAGTAAGCAAAACTGGTTTATACTCTCCTGTTAATTATATGAGTAGGATCTCCTTTGAAAATCCCACGTTTTCCTCTACCCCCGGGCCTGCCCTTTATTCCTTCACCATCCAGCCACGACTGACATTAGTTCAAGGAAAGCATATTAATCTTCATACTGGTTTAACAAAACAGTGCATTGCAGACTTGCGCAGTCTTGCGCAGGATTATTCAGCAGGACGGTAAAATAGTGCAGTGATCTTTGTTACACACTGCAGAAGTTGCTAAAGGCAGCAAGATACCAAAGACAGCAGATTTTCCCAACTGAAAACTGCCATCTCCGTTATTTTTATTTTATTAAATTTATAACTCGTTGACTCAGTTTTCTCAAATTCTTAGAGTCAGCAGGCGGCATGGTAAACCACAGATTGAGATTCATTTACGTTTAGGGGCTCCTGAGCGGCTCAGTCAGTCAAGCGTCCGACTCTTGATTACTGCTCAGGCCATGATCTCCTGGTCTTAGGACCGAGCCCCACGTTGGGCGTCTGCACTGGGTGTGGAGCCTGCTTAGGATTCTCTCTCCTTTCCTCTCCTTCTCTCACTTTCCCCTTCTCTCTCACCCCTCGCGCTCTCAAAAAAGGAAAAAATAATAATTATAATTGATTTGCATTTCATTTTAATTTAAAAGACATAATATTTTTTTCTCTTTCACTTCCACCATTTTATTATATGCTTAGTACCCTCCCACGAACCAGATTTAATAGAGTACATCCTGAATAGGAGAATGAAATTTCAGGGGCTTTGAACTTTCCCAGAGGTCTTTCTGCCTTAGGGAGGAGCAGAATCCAGGAATGCCTTTCCCTAGATTCAGTTCATTTGCATTAAGTTCCGTAGTCTACAGCCGGGCACTAAGCTAGGCGTCGCGAATGTGGTGCTGAACAAAACCGGCCTGTCCTGACGATTGAGTCACTTAGGTAGGAGGGCAGAAGGGAGAGTGAGGCAGGGATTTAAGCAGGTAAGATTAGTTTATGTAAAAGCCCAGAAGCAAGAGACCATCCAACAGTTTCTGGACTGGTAGGGGTTGGCCTTTGTGGTTGGCTCCTGGGAGAGTGGAGAAGGATGAGGCTGGAGGGAGGCAGGAGCCTGAAAGTATTTGAAAAGTATGTGGTTATCATGCCAAGGAGATTAGATGTAGGATGTCACCCTCCAGTTATCTCTCTGCCTTGATGGAGTGAGATAGTCCACAGAAGGAAAGTTTCCAGAAAACTTTACCATCTGAATTCAATTTGCCAGATAATTTTTCAGTTTTTTTTTTTAAGGAATTCTGATAATAACACATTTCTTTTAAAATGGATTTCTTTTAATTTTTAGAACAGATACTAAGTATAGGTTTACTTTTTAAAAACTCAGTGCTCTCTGTTAACACTATGTATTTTAATTTCCTTTTAAAAAGTGTAACTTTTCTCTTTGTTTTCCTTTTCGCAATTAAATTAGCCTTATTGTTGTTTCTTAGTATTACTATAAAATATACTCACGTCGGAATTCAAACAAAACAGTGTATGCAAAAAAGTAAAAGCCATTCCACTTTGCAGAGGTAGCCATATTTGGCGTTTGTGTATGCGCAGCCGCCTCCCATCTACCTGCCCACCTATTTCTGAGCTGTGATCATCTCTGCTTGCTTTTTTGTGTCACTCAGCATTGTGACAATGAGATCTTTCCTTGTCAACAAGAATACACACCGTGGTGTCCTCTAGACTTAACGGTGTTTAATCTCAAGGATAATCTGAGAAAACAATAACCAAACTTCCGAGAGTTGTGTTTCATTGGGTCAGCGAACTCGGATTTGTGGCTTCCTAGCCTAAGCCACAGACTGATGAAGACTTCCGACTGTGGACAAGAAATGACATTGTGGCTAGGTACGTTGTTTTGAGTATTGATATTGGAGCTGTGGGGCCTGATTAGGTTTGTTTAATGACCAGACTATAGACTAGCTAGCTGACCATTTTTCTACCTGAGCAGCTGCTTACAAAACATTTATTTGACCTACTTCCTATCATTTATGCTTCATATTACTTTGTGCCATTTGCTGCACCCCTGCTGTCACTGGCTTAGTAGGCTCTTGTCACTGCTCTCCAGGGCTACTCCTGTAACCTCCCATCTCAGCCTTTCTGTAAGGCTGCACTTAAAATCTTCAATAGTATCCCACTTTGTCCATAATATTGACGTTGAAACTCTCTGTCATAATTGTATTATGAAGGGCCACACAACATTCCTTAATGGTTCTGTGTCTCTCAACTCTGCTTATCCCGTGGCCCCTCCAGTACGCACGGGGCCGCCTGTATTTGTATTTATTCTGGATGACGGCTGGAACCGCCTTTCAGGATCCAGCTCTGGTGGCAGCCCTTCTGTGAAGCTCTTCTCCCCACCACTTCCCCCACCAAACAAATGCACACATACACCCACAAACCCAGGCCCCTCCCTCCTCTGGTTTCTCACTGTGACTTCTTACAGCACCACTTGTTTGTCCACTTGTTTCCCGAAAACCTTTCTGACAGCAGAGGTCTCATCCTTGTATCCCCAGGGCATGACACACAGCAGGTATTTAATGGCTGAAGGGAGTTCAGCCATGGAAGCCTTATCGATCTTCAGAGCAGCTGCTCGAATCAGATTAGCTTTGCTCTCAATTTGGCAACATAAAAAGTCAGCATAAGTCAGTTATTTTTTTCTTGGACACAACAAAGCTGTGCATAACTTACATCCCCCAAAAAAAAAACAGTAAACTGTAGACAATGAAATTTCATATGGACATGGGAAGTCTTAAGCGTAAAAAGCAAAATTGTAGAACAGAATGTATTATGTGATTCCATTTGATTAAAAAGTATATAGCATGTGCTTGAATGTGTGGACTTGTAGATTGTAGGTGTTCGATACACTCGATGAAGATATCTAGGACATGTAATAGATGTTATCAGGAGCTACTGCTGGGGAGTAGCTAAGTAGGAGGACCTTATGGTTTTACATCACACAATCTGATGTTCTTTGATCTTCTAGTGGGTATTTTTTAAAAAGGAAACTCATTCGTGAATCCAAATAAGCTTCAATATTTTAAAAACATTGACATTGTATCATTTTCCCACTGCTTTGCTGCTTATTTAAAATCTTATGTTATAAAACAGCTGCCATTTTAAATTTCTTTATTACTGTTAGCCTCGTTTTACCCATAAGGAACCGGAGACCTAGAAAAATGACATGGCTTACCTTATGGCACAAAGCCAGAATCCAGGTTCAAGTTTGTTTGGCCAGAAAGTCTGGACTTGACCTAACCACTTCACTATCACACACGAGTTGCTTTCATTCCTTTTTGTTTCACTTTGCTAAGATTTGTTTTATTGTCCATAGGTCTGTATGCTTTGCTCTGTGGGCTATCATCTTTTTTCCTGCCATCGATCAGAAAAAACCTGTCGAAGATGGATGGCATTAGATTATGCAGGAATTTCTATTGGAATACTGGGATGCTACGTCTCTGGGGTGTTCTATGCATTTTATTGTAATAACGTAAGTAACTTAAAACATTTTACATTCTACCTTTCCGGTAGGTCTTCTGTTTTCTTGCCATGGTTCCTTTGAACTTCTGAATAAACACATAATTAACTTATAGAAGAAATATGAGTCTTATATATGTATAAACTAATTTTTCAGAAGGTCCCTGTGATCTCTAATATCTATTACTAGATCCAAACTCATTTTACTGATTTTCCATTGAAATATATATTTAAAGATTATTTCTAAAAATGGATGTAAACACTAAGTTATTAATGTTTCCACTAAATCCCTATAACTACATGATTCTTCAGATGCACATTACATGTGTTTTATGTTTATAGAGCTGAAGTTAAAGTTAGTGCTTGATAAAATTATGAAGCTGCCTGCTGCTTTCCATTTCCCCTGGTCCTTTACTCCTCTCTCAGTGAAAAAAATAAAGGGTTTGTCTGTGAGCGTGTTGACTAAGTTCTTCGTAAGAAATACGTTTTCCTTTCTTTAGTCTTATATTTGGAGGTGAGCATGGAGACAGACCAGCTGGGTGATGAGTGACTTAAATAGGTATCTCTTCTGAGGTAGAGATCAACTCTGCTTTGGATTCTGATGTCATAAAAGTTACTTGTTGCCCCGTGCAAAGCAGCATTTGAAACACTGCTTTCAGATTATGTTGGCCCAGCAAACTGCGGAATATAATCCTGTCCCATCACCTCATGTCCCCACCAAGGAAGTAAACAGTCTTCCCTTGGGCCTGGTACCTCTGAAGGCCTCCCATTCCGGAAGCCCTCATCAGCTCTGTTCTCTCTTCTTCCTGCTCGCCTACCCTTACCCTTTTTGTTTTCTTTTGTCTTTTAGTTCCCTCCCTTTCAGAGCCAGGACAGAGCTGTGCAGGGGCAGTGTACGTACTAGGTGCTGGTAGTCCTGTTCGCAAAACACCGGAGCCTTCCTCCCCACGGGCCCTCACGTGTAACAGGTGCTCCGAGCCGTCCTCCCCAGCCTTCGCGTCCTGGGAAGATCGGCTGTAGCGCAGGATCCCTCTGAACTGAGAATTCCTAAGTGGGGCCTTTGTCTCTGCACAATAATAGAGATAACTGAGCTAAAGTGTAAAACTAGCAAAGAGAAAAATCATAAATTTGGTTTGAAGTAAGAGAATTATTGATTGTAGCCACTTAACATATGAGCCATTTGCTTTTTAGGCCTAATTACTTTGGAACATAAGCATTTAATTAAATATATGTGCAGTTAACCCTGTAAATTGATTTGATTTTAATGGTAAGTTCGTATCTGCTCAGGTTTCACTTACTCATTTTGCTGGAAACCATTTATATCTTTTAGAAAATTTGGTATAAGCTGGTCAGTAGGAGCTTGTGAGTGCAGTCATGTCATATTTGAATTGTTTTACTTATTTTAGTCTTTCTCTGAAAGCTGACCTGTTTTCTGTTTACCTTTTCCCACATATACCCAATAATTCAGGAGGGTAGTGGGACTAAATCTCTTTTCAGAAAAGCTCGGTTTCCAAGAGAAGAGAGAACCACCAGAGCTAATGATCACTTAAAGGAAAATCATTTTCTTTCCTCTGGGGCCTAATCATTTCCGAGTGCTCCGAGTGCGCAGTTGCTGTAGCGGCTCTTTCTCTCCGAAGGGGTGCGGGCTGCTTTGACAGTGAGATCGACAACTCGGGACCTTCCATCCGGGGGGTGTGCGTGTGGGTACAGGGGAACCAGACGGTTTGACGTGCCATTTCAGGAAGCTTCCGGCCTCACAGCGGTCCCTGCAGCCCAGCGTAAGGACTCTGCCCCGTGAGGTGCTGGCTTTCGGGCTTCAGCTGCTCATCTCCATACCCAGACACTCTGTGAGCCCTTCAAACGTAACGTGTTTCAGAAGGCACATTCGTGCCTTCCCGTTCTCCCTCCCCCCACAGACACCACACCTGCCTTATCTGCTCATTTGCTCGGTGAGCGGAGGCCGCGCGCACGGCCTTTCGTGATGGAGAGGCCTGGCCGTGCTCTCCTGCCTTCTCACACACCCCGTCAGCCATTAAGATCTGAGTTTATTTCTAAAAGGTCTCCTGCCTGTGCTGCTCACATCTGTATCTTCCTCGTCCAACGGGACTCCAAGCCTCCGTTCTCTTTTTGAGTCGGTTATTCTAGTATCTTCCAGCCGGCTGCCCATCCCCACTTGCTTCTGCACACCGATGTCCGCGTCACCTAGTAAGTCATGCGAGAAGCGGGCCCGTCCTCATCCTTAAAGACCCCGCTCCTCCCCAGCGCCGGCGCGTGAGAGCTCCACGTCCCGCGCCTCACCGGACTCTGCCTTCAGCCTTGCTTCTCGAACGTTCCCGCCGCACGTGCCGTTCCTTTGCCTCGAGGACTCCCCCTTCCCACGCAGTCGGGTCTGCTCCTCAGGCAGCATCTGCTTAGACGCTGTCTCTTCTGTGGAGCGTTTATTCGCGGCTGCAGGGAGCAGATGCCCCGGCCCCCGGGGCTCCACAGCGTTGGCTCACAGCTGGGTTACAGCGCGTCTCATCGGGTCCTGGCGATTCTAACTGTCGGTGTCTGCCCTCCCGCAGTCTGTGAGCCCACCCACTGCGAGAGGCCGTGTCCTCGTCAGCTTCGTCTGCGGGGCTGAAATCGTCCCTGGCATGTGACAGTCCTCCGAAAATGCTTTTGTGTGCATCAGTGTGCTTTCTGCCAGCTCCGTCGCCCTGAGAAACCTAGTGGGCGTGTGGAACACGCGGTGTTTTAAGGAAGGAAGTTAATTGTGTCTAGAAAGGGGAAAAAAACATAAATAAGTTTGGAATGTGTAACGTAAAACCCGGAATGGCTCTTTCCTTCTCTGACGTTGCATGACAACTGAAACTCGGTTTCCTTCCGCCAGTACTGGCGCCAGGTGTACCTGGTCACCGCGCTCGCCATGGTCCTGGCCGTGTTCCTCGCACAGACCCACCCCAGTTACCTCACGCAGCAGTGGCACAGGCTGCGCTCTGTCATCTTCTGTTCCGTCTCGGGGTACGGAGTGATCCCCACGCTTCACTGGGTCTGGCTTAATGGAGGCGTCGGGGCTCCTATTGTACAGGTGGGTTGAGTGGGGTCGATGTTCTTCTTTTTTGGCCTTTCCATTGTATTCATTTTGGGTAAAGCACTGTAATCAGACCAGGTGGGTGGGTCTCTGTCATTTGAGAAAATGCTTGTATTTGCATATTAATGCCATCATGTTCACATCTTTATAAATTAGCATGCCTTGCAGGAAAGAGAAGTGTAACTGCTGCTTTTTTCCAAGATGTCTTTATGTGAAATGAGACGTTCTTAGTTCTCCTGCTACCCTCAGGGTATTAATGCCCAAGTGCTTATCAGTGCAGGGTAACTTCTAAGTTTCCAACTTTGTTAGCTGTGGCAAAGGTAATGCCAGTGAGAACACAAATACGGAACTAGGAGGGATGGATGGATGGATGGATTGAATTGGGGGAGGAAAAGGAGCTCGAAAAGATTTTTCCTTGGACCTGTAGAGTTGGAGGCACCTGTGGCACGTAAAGGTGGAGATGGAATTGGAATTCAGGTCACAGTTGGAGACTAGTGATCAAGATTTGAAAATCATTACTGTATTGGTAGCTGGAGCCCTGAGAGCATGTCCCACCCACCAAGGACAACATACTGGCAAGTAAAAGAAGAGCTTTTAGAGTTAGGTATTATGGGGCAAGTCGTGAGAATGCCTCCATATTCTGGAGAAAGGGATTAGAAATAAGACTTAAGATCTCAGAGAGCCACATAAAAATGCTTTAAGAAAGCACTTGAGAGTAAACTTAAGAATTTTTAACATCACGGGGTGCCTGAGTGGCTCAGTGGGTTAAGCCTCTGCCTTCGGCTCAGGTCATGATCTCAGGGTCCTGGGATCAAGCCCCGCATCGGGCTCTCTGCTCAGCAGGGAGCCTGTTTCCTCCTCTCTCTCTGCCTGCCTCTCTGCCTACTTGTGATCTCTCTCTCTCTCTCTGTCAAATAAATAAAATATATATTTTTTTTAAAAAAAGGAATTTTTAACATCAGTAAATATGCCAGGAAATCTAGCAGAAGTAATACACTTGTTGCAATGGGATCTTTTCTGGAATAAGGGGATTTAACTGCAGGTTTTATACAAAAGGATCACATATTTTTTAGAAGACAGAACTAAGAGTAGGCTTATATGTGCTTGAATGAAGTTGGCAACAGCATGATGGAAAGCATTTGGGTATAAAACTAGAAAGAAAGGAAATTCTGTGATCTAGCAAATTGAGTGCTAGGACTTGGCCAGCCACTTTGTCAGCTGGAGAACGGGTGATGCTTTCTTCATAACATTAAGAAATTGGGAGAAAGTGAGACAGTGGTGATGAACTTCAGTGATCCTGATAACTGAAAACCTCATTTCTCTGCCAATTTTAATTCCCTGAATAGAAGGTTAAGACAGTACAATGGTGAACTACAATTCTAGATTAAATTCTAACCCGAAATGAATAACTGGTTATTGACAGAGAAGGGACCAGAATTTGACATGACATAAACACATCCCTTTTAAGCTTATAATGAGAAAGAGAACCAGACCTATTGAGCCAGTAGATTTTTGAGAAATTCAGAAAAATATGGGTGCTTTCCTGGTTTCAGAAATCTTACAATAGAAATATGGTTGAGGAAAAGAGTGGTTCTGAAAGATAGAAATCTAATGTGATCACAGATCATTCCAGCGAAGAAGCAGAGGGAGACTTCCTGAGAAATTCTCCGATAAGCTGTAATTTTTAAAAGATGGGGAAAGAGAGAGAGACTTAACCAAAGATGAAAAGTTCCAGAAGGGCTAATTCTGGGAAGCAGGGTATGGTTATGTTCTCATGTTCATTATTTTAAGAATGTAGGATTTCAGGAAGGCCAGGATAATTATCAACTATGTGTAGAGAGAAGTAATTTGTCTTTATTTCTTTTTGTTTTTGTTTTTTAAAGATTTTTATTTATTTATTTGACAGAGATCACAAGTAGGCAGAGAGGCAGGCAGAGAGAGGAGGAAGCAGGCTGCCCGTCGAGCAGAGAGCCTGATGCGGGCTCGATCCCAGGACCCTGAGATCATGACCTGAGCCGAAGGCAGAGGCTTTAACCCACTGAGCCACCCAGGCACCCCTTGTCTTTATTTCTTAAATGGCTTCTTGTGAATTTACAACCAGAATTAGGATCAATATGTATCAATTTTAGCTGGCTAATTTTCTTAGGGCAAGGAAAAGCTTTCCAGTTAGAGCTGAGAGAGGGACTGCTTCATATAGTAGTTTCAGGAGGACCACTTACCCGGGTTGGTGAACAGATTTCTTGTTGGGCCAAACCTCTTTTTTTTTTTTTAAAGATTTTATTTATTTGAGAGTGAGAGGGAGACACAAGCAGGGGCAGAGGGAGAAGCAGGTTCTCCGCTGAGCAGGGAGCCTGACATGGAGCTGGGTCCTAGGACACTGGGATCATGACCTGAGCTGAAGGCAGATGCTTAACCGAGTGAATCACCCAGGTGCTCCCAACACTCTTGTATCTTTTTAACCACAAGCCCCTGATCTTCGGTTTTGTTTTGTTTTTTTTTTTGTTTTGTTTTTTTAAAGATTTTATTTATTTATTTGACAGACAGAGATCACAAGTAGGCAGAGAGGCAGGCAGAGAGAGAGGTGGAGGCAGGGTCCCCGCCGAGCTGAGAGCCGGATGTGGGGCTCGATCCCAGGACCCTGGGATCATGAACTGAGCTGAAGGCGGAGACTCAACCCACTGAGCCACCCAGGTGCCCCTGATCTTCAGCTTTTGCTTATTCTGCCCTACCTCCAGTCCCCATACGCGTTCCACCCACGCACCTCTAGTTGGGGTGTCCTTAGGACCCTCAATTGTGGTACAGTTCTGACTCCCTTAGTGCCCTCACCGTTAGAGCACTGCGCTCCACTTCTGGGGCCATTTCCTACAGGGAGGAAGAAGGAAAGGGAGAGAACCCCAAGTAGACTCTGCGCGGAGCAGGGAGCCCCACAGGGGCTTAGTCTCACGACTCTGAGACCATGACCGGAGCCAAAACCAAGAGTCACGGACGAAGCCAGCCTAGCGCCCGTTTCCTACAGCAGTGAGAACAAGATTTCCATAATTGGAGACTGTCTACAATTAAGATTTAACAAGGTTAAATTCCACCTATGACTTCTACCTAATCTGTGAATTAGATTCCTAATAAATGAATTCAGTCACAGGAAAAAGATCTGTGAAAAATGTTTTGCTTTTCAGGACTTTGCACCTCGTGTAATTGTGATGTATGTGATTGCTCTTCTGGCTTTCCTGTTCTACATCTCCAAAGTTCCAGAGCGGTACTTTCCAGGTAAGTATCACTTTCATGGTGATCTCGCGACTTTCTTCTAGATATGTGGTAGAAGTGTATGCTTGAGTATCAAAAGTTAGTTTTTTTCAATATTATTGGTTACAGAACAGCTCTCCTATTGTCAAATGTTATCTAAAAGCTTAACTTTCAAAGGACTTTCACAAACCCGAGTGCAGTAGATGAGCTCACCACCATTTCCTGATGATGAGCTAGTGACAGAGCTAGGAGTCTTCTGACTCCCAAACTCTGCTTTTTTTTGTGGAATACTAATTATTAGTTACCATTGACTTCTTTATAAGCCAACTCAACTTAAAAAATAATTTTATGTATGTAGAAATCCACAAAACAAGAAATAAGAAAAGAGAGGAAAATAAGATAACAAAAAGAAGCCAGGGTTAGGATCACTTCACCGTATATCCATCCTGAGGTTCTAAAAGTAGATAAAGGCCGCCAATCTGCCTTTCAGCTTCCTAATACCCAGTGCTAAAGGGAAAATACGTAAGTGAAGGGTCTTCATGTCTGCAAGATCTACACAAGCTAGTACCTCAGTAGAAGGACAGATTTCCGTGATTCTTCAGTCCAGAAAAAAAAAAACCACCTTTGATAGAAAATAACCAAGAGGACACTGGGTAGAATGAATAAGGTTGTCCAAAATCTGTATTTGCTTGTTTAGGAACTTAGGTCTGGAGTCAGACTGCTGGGCTTCAAATCCACGTCACCCTCTTACTAGCTGCACGAGCTAAAGAAATTACTCATGCTTTTTCGGGTCATTTCCTCATCTGAGTCTGGAGATCATACTTTCTCTCATGGTGTTGTGAGGATTACGTGAGAAAGTGTACATGAACCATTTAGCAAGTTCCTCACGAGTAGTAAGCACTTAGTACGAGTCAGCAACGATTGTGATGGTCCTTCCTCGACCTCAGTCCCGGAAGTGGAGGATGCAGTTGGGTAAGGGGCACAGTGACAGAAGTCTAGGGATCTCTAGCTTGAGTCAAGAGAACAGAGTGCATAGAGCAGTGATTTTTTGATGTGAGGAGCTAGACGTAGGACAGTGTTCACTTTCAAACTGCAGACTTATCCCTCCTTCCTGGGTTAAGAATGTCTTCCCCAGTGAATTGAAGATAGGATTATGCTATCATAATGCATGTTGGGAAGAAAAAGGATGAGAAACCCTGATCTGGAGAATGTATAGATCACAGGCTTTCTTCTGTGAACTTGGTTGTCACCGGTAAGTTTTAAATAAGAGTAAGAAGAACCTGAGGGTAAACATTCGGATTCCAGAGCATAAGTGGGACATGACCCTACATTGAAGACTGGCCCTCCTTCAGGGAGAGCCACAATTTTCCTCAGGAAACGGTTCTAGCAAAATACATTTTTGTAGCACCTTATTAATAATTCCTTTTTTTTTTTAAGATTTATTGATTTAATTATTTGACAGAGATCACAAGTAGGCAGAGAGGCAGGCAGAGAGGGGGAAGCAGGCTCCTCATTGAGCAGAGAGCCCGATGCCGGGCTCGATCCCAGGAACCTAGGATCATGACCTGAGCCAAAGGCAGAGGCTTTAACCCACTAAGCCACCCAGGCGCCCCTAATAATTCTTTTATTATTTATTTTTTCATGACAAGTACATGTAGAAAACTGAACCATGACATTTTTCTACATTACACAATTGTAGCCATAGTATTTTTATGCCAGAAGTTTTTTATGCCAGAACTTTCATACCAGAAGTTTCCAGTTGTCTAACATAGGATCCCTGTAAAAGGTCAAATGTTACATAACTTAACATTTCTCCCAGATGAGATTGACTTAAACCGTGCCCCCATGTAGCTGAGTATGTGGCGGTGCGGGCACGGTGGGAGCAGCAGACATCCGGAGACCCTACGAGATGAAAAGCTTCATGGATAAAAGTGATAGCTCAGATGCTTTTGAATGAGTGGCTTAGAAACCGCGTCTCCCCAGTCCCCATTTATGACCTGGCTGTAGAGAGAACCGTGCAGCGGTGAGCATGGTGGCTGACTACTATGAAATCAACAGATTGACACTGAAGAACTTACTTTCAGCTCAGTTACATCTTTACAAATGTAGAAACAGCACAGTGGTATCTGACGGGGTCCAAGGATCCCCAAAGGTGTCCGTGAACACAATTGAATATATCTATGATACTTATCTGATAATGTGATCAGCTTTCTTTGTAATCCTCTGTGTTTTGTGCTTTTGAAAATGAGTCTGTGGGTTTCACTAGACTGTCACAGTACACCGTGGCACCAAAAAAGGCTAGGAAGCCCTACAGAAAGGATTGTGTGGACTTAAAATTTAAAATCTACGCACTGTGCTATTCCTCTTGGTAAGAAGAGACAGGAATGGTGACTGAGAATGTTTACATGACATGACCACAGAAGCACCATCAGTAAGGAAAAGAGAGTTAATCTAAATTTCTACAGCTCTGGATTTCATTTATTTTGTTCTTTTTCAAGAAGCTTCTTGCGTGTCAATTATCTAATCCCCTTGGAATTTAAGCACAAAGAGAAATAGTTCTAAGTGTGTGTGTGTGTGTGTGGGTGTGTGTATGAACTAATCAACCTCAGTAACGATGAAGCCATACTAATTACATTTTGTGGATTAGTCCATGGCACATATATCCAGATAAGTAACACATGAGACCGGGGAGACGAAAAATCAGATTCCTGAAATTAACCAAATTAGTTTGCAAGACACATTTGGAATAGTATTTCCAGAATTCACCAATGTCCTTAAAGTAGACCCAAATATGAATTCATCCTTTTAAAAAAAAAAACCTTTGGGTTTGAATGAATCTCCTGTCAGTCTCCAGGTGCTCTGACGCTGCCAAAATCTTTTTGCTGCAAAGCCATTATTTCCAAGTCCAGAGATAAAAATATATTCGTATTTTAATATCAAAATATTACAGTCAATATTCTTGTGTCTCTGCCTTCCCTTCTAGGACAACTAAACTACCTCGGATCAAGCCACCAGATATGGCATGTCCTTGCAGTAGTGATGTTATATTGGTGGCATCAGTCTACAGTGTACGTCATGCAGTACAGACACAGCAAGCCATGCCCGGACTATGTTTCACATTTGTGAAGGCAGGAATGGCCGCCTGCTGTATACAGTTGGTAAGCAATATGTCACGGGGAGTTGTCTACCCCACTGTTTCTAAGATTCATATTAGTTTTTCCTTTATCCTCCTATTTAATATATCATGAGTAATACTTTATAAAAATGGAAGAATATACTTGGGAATCTGTAATAATAACTGCTTTCCAGCCCTTAAAACTACTAATTTGCTGCTTGTACAGAAAGTGAAAATTAGTTGACAATTACAACAATGATCGTGAAACCAGTGTAGAAATAGTATTAGTTTTACTTTACACCAGCTTCATTTCCTTAGGAAGGGCTTCACCTCCATTATAAAACGGAGTCATCCTGTGTGATTCCTTTAATAGAAGATACTTACCCAGTAGTGGGTCCAGTCGAAGTGCCTCCTCAAGGCCAGGGTTGCAGTAGCCTGTGCCTAGCACAGCCAGGAGTGCCGTTCTGAGTCATCACTCGCCTTTAAATACACAGGTTCTGAGAAACGGGCACTTAAGGTATGATTTCCTTTAGCTGTAGGCTCCCTTCTCCTTAGGAATGTTGGATTTGTTAGTTTGCTAGAACAAAAACTTTAAACCTTCCCTCCCCTGAGTTGAGAGAGGCATTAAGAGGAAAAGAACTTGCATCGTCATTTCCCATCCGCTAAGAATCACATTAAAAACTGAAGATATGATCAGGCAACAAATTCTGTGGTCTAATAACTAAGGCTTTTCAGCTTTTTTTTAAGCTTTTTAATTTCAAGGACTATTACTAAGTTCCATATAATAACGGCACTCTTGCCAGTGGATTACAGATTTTTCGTTCCAAAATTCCTGTAGCAAAATAGAGTTTCACCTCTCTGAATTTGCAGTCCTACTAAATTTCTTGATGGGTGGGAGTTCCCAGTTATATGGGTGCTACTTTCAAGGCCACAGAGTCCAGATGGCCCAGGGTTGACCCTGAAATGAACGTTAAGCCTTAGAACAAAGTCACGTAGATGCCCGTTGACAGGATTATTCCCCCGTACTCTAGTCTTTCCCTGTTTACGCGCATGTGAGCATTTTACTGACAGCGCAGAGTGTTGGTAAACACGATCTCATACTTGGGCCTGAAGCATTTATATATTTTTATTGTATATGCCTAAGAAATAGATCTCACCACCCCAGCATACATGCTCTTCTCGTTCCTTGGTCTTTTCATGTGTGTAAATTAGATCCCTTTGGACGCATTCACAAAAACATGTTCATCGGGATATAAAGTATTATCCAGATTTCTTAATGGGTTCACATGAGCTGCTTTAAATACTGGTGTAGCTTTAAAGCACCGGAATTAAGTGTTGATTGAGGGTGAAGCTTACTTCCACATGGCCCTTTCTGTATCTCAGATGAGGGATGTTACTTTACTGTGCCTCAGTTTATCTAGCTGTAAAATTTTGGTTTCTTTTCGGTGTAGTGTTTTTGGAGTATAAATTCCCCATGCTAGCATCTCAGCACGGAGAATCTTCCCAGTAGACTAAGGGCGCTGTATTGTACCATTATGATGATGAACACACTACTTTGAAAATGGCTACTTTGCCTCCTAAGGCCACAAATTTGATTCCTATGCTGAGTGATAAAAAAAGACTTTGCTGTAATAATAGGATGTATTTTCCCCAAAACAACCCTTAGGGGTCTAACGTGGTATTGTTGATTTTAAATAAGATATTTTGTCATTTTGGCCCAATAAAATACACTGAGAATAGTTAGAATTAATTTAAAAATAGAAAAGTCTAGTTATTTTAGGCCTGGTACCATTTTACTATAATCTTCTCAAAATAGAAACATTGAACTTTAGGCTCTGTTTTCTCTAAATTTTTTAAAAACATTCCTGTTTTTTTGTTAGAGTGTATGAATTATCTAATACTTGCCATCCGAATTAATGGATTAAAAAGGCATACTATGTTTGACTGTTTTGTTTTGTTTTTTTTTAATTTAAAAGGCATACAAGTCTGTAGGGAGAATTCTACCATGGGAACATGTCATCTTTTTATGAAAATGTTAAATATTGTAAGAAACCTATCCTCTCTCATTTTCATCTTTACTATGAAATATTTTATTATAAAGTAGGAAATGAATGGATGAGTGTGGATTGCTGTCAACTATAAACACTTCTGTATGTCAGCATTTACTGACCACCTACTGTGTGCATAGCACTACTGGCAAAATTTGTAAGACATTGTTAACATGAGAGAATATTTAAAAATTGCCTACAAATCTGAGCCTTGTAATAATGTATACTTAAGTTATTTTTGGTTTTATAGATTTATTAAAATAAGATTAAAAGTACACTATTCAGCTACCATACTAAAAAAACTGGTTTTAATTTTACAGTGTGTAAACTAGAAAAGCTCTTTACCTACAGACTTTACACGTGCATTTTAAAACTATCCGTGGCGGTTTTAAACTGTCTATTGTGATTTATAAGGTTGCAGTTAATTCATTGGAGGCAATTATCTTTCTATATAAAGCCATTTTCAAAAGATAGTGCTTGTCTTTTTTGTTATGACACAGAGTGCAATTCAGTAAGCTGCATGGCAAATACGTGTGATGTAAATAAACCGGTTTACTAAATGTATTACGTGCTGCTTGTCATTCTTTATAATGCGTAACGGCTTCAAAATCATATTTTAGAATCAGGAATGAAGACTCAGGGAATCTCTGTCCCATCCGTTGGCATCCTGCCCGAACAGAGTAACCGATTTGAAGATTGTGACCGACTGGCATAAAGTTGTGCAACCCCATTCGGCAGGTACCTTCCTAGAGCGATCCTTTGCCCTGTAGTCAAGGTCAAGGGGCAAAGCCTGCACGTCTGGGTTCCTGCCAGCGGCCGAGCTGAGTGGATGTGTATCCACCTGAAGTCGTCATTCTGGGTAGTCCCAGCCCTGCCAAAATGCGTGAAGAAAGAGCTCAGCTGTTCGGGGAGGGACGGAATGTCTTTTTCCCAGCATCACCACAGTGACTGTGTGTCCTCAGAAGAGGTGCAGAGGCCGTTGGTACCGATGTCCCCGGAAGTTCCCTATACGTCCTGAGTAGGGAGTGAGGGAGTGACCCAAAACTGAAACTACCTTTAAGGAAACACTTTCGCAAGAGACAGGTGACAGCAGTAGGTAGCGGTCTCTAGTGAAAAGTGGCAGCTCTCGCCTTAGAGGGTAGGAATGGCAGCCACCAAAGCCCTCGCCCAGCTGCGAAGTCTGGGATCAGAAACTCTGTCCAGAACATACATGTAACTGCAGTCATGCCGGCCGTCTGTGGCAGGGGCCACTGTTTGTAAATGTGCAACAGAAAACTCCACTATGAGACTAACTAACTACATCTTACTGATGATGCCCGAGCTGGCATCATTTACATCCTTTATATCATTTATAACCTTAAAAAGGGATGTAAATAGCTCTAATCGCAGGATATGTTTTTCTCTAAAGAAGTTAACCATAACTCAGCTTGAACAGTGGTACATATTCCACACTTTGTACCATTTACTAAAAAGACATAGGGCCCTTATTCTTCCGTGTAACTTTAGATGTTACTAAGTCAAAAAAAGAAAAAAAGTTCATAACGAGACGAATCCTTCCACAAGCCACCAGTCTAAAGCCCCCCGTTTGTGAAATACTACCTAAGATGATGTGGTCTTGACACCAGACATAGCCCCCACCAGCACCAGTCCAATAAACAGGTTTTCTCTTTAACATCCCAAAGCCTCTTTTCTGACATAATCAAGGATTACAGTATTTTATTAACCAAGTACTTTTTAAGTTATATATGTTACCAGATTTTAAGAAGCTTAAATAAATTAGACACAAGCAAAGACAATGCCGGACGTTCACAAGGTACTTCAGAGTCAGGCTTTGCCTTACCTTCGCCATTGTAATAATCCGTAACTGTAGTTCCTGAGCAGCTTGTGCTATGAAGTATTTTGGCTGCAAGAATGCTAGGTTGCAATGTTTTCCTACTTAAATCCCACACTGTGAGCTTTACCCTAAGAACAGAAATCTAATCCTGTTCATTTTTCCATTCTGCTAACAGGTGCTTTCATGTCTGTAGTGTGAATAAAAGAGCTGAATCAAAGTCTACATTCAAAACATTTAAGACAAATAATGAAAAACTCCACAGTCACTAATTACAAAGAATATGCCATCCATTTGGGATTTATTGCATTTAAAGAAAGCAGATTATTAAAACAGTAGGTATGATAAATACAGTAAGAAAATAATTTTAAATTTCAAACAAAAACAAAGTGAATGAGGGACAGAATTCAGTCAATAATAAGCAATGTAAAGGCAATAAAGTAGTAAAATCAGTTAGTGCTTAATTAGATGTAGAAAGAAAAAAAAAATCAACTGATTCTATCTCATAAACAGTTTCCCAGCTAGATTTGCGGACTGAAGTTATTTTAGAAATATAATAAACATGTAAATCAGGTTTATTAAAAGTTAAAGTTATTTGCTTAGTGGTACATAAAAGGCTTCAGAAAATTCAAGTTTAACAAAAAATGGAAGTGTAATCAAAGAAAGTGCACTTAAAGCTGTTTGCCAGCAATTTAAAAAGTAGCTTCCTATTACTATACTGCTTACTATTAGATGACCTTTCAATCACAAAAAGAGAGTAGTAATAAAAACAATTTTCAAAAGTAGCACAATTTTTAAATAAAAATAACCCCAAATGACAACCCATTGCATTTTCATCTACCTCATTCTTTTAGTGGCTTTTGTAAAACCTCCCTAGGAGTGAATGTTCTTTTAGTAATGATTGTGGTTGCAATTCCATTTAAAATTAAAAATTCACATTAACTCCACAGTAGAGAGATGTGACATTTGCATGCATGCGTGTGTTTATATAGTTTCCTCAATATATAAACACCCTGGTGCATAAAAGTTTTCAAACCTAATTTTTATTCTCACAGTAGATACGTCATCTCATTGTCACAGTAGATCTGTCAGCTCAGTATCAGACCTAACAATGATGAGTGAATTTGCTAAAAGGAAGAAAAAGTTTACTGCACATTCTACACATATTAAAAAAATGTACCAAACTCCTCAGAACTAGTGATACTAATACATGTGTGTACCTTCTAGCAATGCTTATATGAAGTACCAAAACTTGAACGAAGCAGAAAATGGCTCTGCCTGATGAACATCAGAGCAGAAGAGGGGTTCCACCTGACTCTTCTCCAGTAGCCGCAGGGAGACGACAATCTATCACTGTTAAAATAATAAACGGGTGGGGTCAGAAGGTGTATCTGTCTACAATTCCAAATAAGGTCATAACTGCGCCCAAATACACATGCAGGGAGGGCGTGGGTCTTCCGAATTTCCCAATCGATACTTCTGAATAAATAGTTAACTTTTCATCCAGCCTAAAACCCTTCTTCCTCTACCTAATACATACACCAGGCAACTTCCATGTCTCAGCAGATACATTCTTCAGTGCCATAAAAGCTGATCTTTTAAACACAGTTGTGCTGAAGTGACATTTAAAAAGTTAACTGAATGGTCCACTTTTAAACAACGATTATTTAAAATCAATAAGCATTATTAAAGCTGTTAGGACAGAAAAAACTTTGGCCTCAGATTTTTGCTAGTTTCATAATTTACTTCCCTTAGTGATGTTCAAGTATTACAGGCTGTTAGGACTACGTACAAAAGCACAGAGAACACCTGATTAATAACAGGAAGAATAATTTCAACTTTCCTTCCTTAAACGAGAATTGGGCCATCCCATAACAGTACCAAACGTTTACTGAAACCTGTGTCCCAAGTATGGGTTAGGCTCTTTGCCGTGCCTTGGGAACTCCAGTCTGCTAACTCGCATAAAGGAATCACCTAGGCATTGCTTGAGTGGCCTACATCCTAACAGTAGTGGGAGGAGATAATGAAAAATGGAAAGCAACCCAAATCCTATACTCCTTGGAAAATGCCTTTACGTCAGCACACAGGAATCTCCCCATTTCTATCCAGTTAGGTCACCTGTTGAATCCTAATAGTTCCTCTGAGCTACAATCTCAAGAGAGGAAAGTCACTGGGCTGTGATACAAGAAACACAAGGACGGGAATATTTTAAACCATGTCAAAACTGCTTCCTTAGAATCCATCCAACTTAGTAAGCCCGAAGCGTCTACATCAGTGTCTAAATCACTTACAATTGTTCAGTGTATTGAAAAGCAAGTGTAAGCAAGGCCTTGGTATCAGACACAATCTAAGTATTTCATGTTTACATCCCAAGGAGACCACATTAATTCATCTACTACCTCTTTTAAATTAAGAAACTCATGAGGTCTAGCAGAGACCAAGGCCAAGGACTAAAATAGTCAACATACTGTGTACACATCAACCAACAAATTTTCATTAAAAAAAAAAAAAATCTGTTTGATACAAACCTACTATATATATAGTTCATGAATTTACTAAATGAAAGAAAAGTATCACTTGAGTCTACCTTGTAAAGTTTTGAAAAATATCGACTTGAGCATTTGCATTAGCAGTATTAATCAACCTGAGAATGGGGGGGGGAGGTGCAAACAATATTTGCCTTTGGCACAAGGACAAGTAATTGGTGCAGTCGGGGCTCTAAAAATGCGATTCTTAAGCAGAAACACAATGCTTGGTCTGCCTCTGCTACACTGTGATTCACATATTGCTTCCCTATTTGTCCACAAATTTATATCTGATTTCAAACATCAAAGAAAAAAAACAATAAACATGAATATATAGTTTAGTCACATATACTTTGCTTCTTTCCAAGTTTAGAACTGTGAAAACAGGCAAACAGCTCATCCCATTTGGGGCACTATAATTAAGAGATTCTAATAAGATTACTCATAAAATAGACTTTAATTGGGTTCAAAGAAAGTTCGTTTAAGGTATAGCAATCAATAAGAGTGCCAGTTAATTAGTTTCCACCCCTTTTTGTAAATAGCTTTAACAGTTCTAGAAACTTCTAAATGTTGATAGGGAAGAACAGTTAATTATAACTTAAAATAGCCAGAGACACAGGAAGCACAGATACTGGATTCACATTAATTCATATAGTAATTTCTATCTTATTAAACAATTTCTATAAAATCTCAAGTTTCTAATTAGGATTTGGGGTGTAAAAAAAAAAAAAAAAAGGCAATTTGGTAGCTGGGTTCTCTTGTCACCGGAGACGGACGCGTCAGCCCGGAGAAGTAAGAGGCTCGCTCCTCGCCGGCGGACCCCGTGGAGCCGCCCGAGGGTCCGCTGGGTCAGGGCAGAGGTACTTGCGGCAGGACGCGGGGTCCTGCCCGTAAGGCTTCGGGGGTTCCCCTGGTCCGCGCGCTGCAGGAAAACACTCCCCGCCCGAACCTAGCCGGAGAGCTGCTGCTCGTGACTCGGGGACATCCCGGGAAGGTGGTACTTTAGTAAAGTCCATTACTCGATGCAACATGATTTTATGTTGTAAACGGCTCAAAAACTCAGGGTTTCGGCTACATGTGTTTGTCCTGGAGCACAGTGTCCCTACAACCCTGTCCTCACTCCCCGTTTTCCCAACGATCTGCTTTATCCGGGCACGACGGCAACACTGGGGGCAAGAAGCCATTCGGGAACCAGAGTCTTCCTGAAGTTCCCGGTCTCTCTCCTGGACCCCGTGCGCGCCCCGTGTCTCCCGGTCTTGTCGGGGACGCCCGCGGGGTGCTCC